ATGTTCCATGTTCCATGTAGATATTTTGTAAATTTCCTACCGTAAATATATCAAAACTTAATTTTTGATATTTAATTTTTAGTAATATGCATTGCTAAGAACTTAATTTGGACAACTTTAAAGGCGATTTTCTCAATATTTAGATTTTTTTGCACCCTCAGATTCCAGATTTTCAAATAGTTGTATCTCAGCCAAATGTTGTCCTATCCTAACAAACCATACATCAATGGAAAGCTTATTTTATCTCAATTAAAATCGACCCTTATGACTGGTTTTGTGGTCCAGGGTCACATCAACAAAACAAAACAGCCAAAAAAATAAAAAACGTATTTTGTGTTCTGAAATGCATATAGGTTTGGAATATACAAAAATTTGGTCATCATTTACTCATCCTCATTTTGGATGAACGATCCTCAGCAGGTGTTTGCAGTTGTGTGTAGGTGTTTTGCATTATAGTTATTACTGTATTGTGTATTTTAGCCCGACTAAAACACCATATTGACCAATCATCATCCAGACATGCAAAACTCCATTAATTAAACTTTTTAATATATTACACCTACTATATTAACAGTGGACTCAGTCAAGTCACGCGTTAACTAAACCACTTCCCACACGAGTCAACCTAGACTTCCAATATTAGTAGCATTTCACTTTCTGTGTCCTCCAGAACTCTTCCTTCTCAAAGGTACATTGTTTATCCGCTCTTTGATTCATTTTACAGGCCAGATGTGACCGCTTGCAGTTAATTTGTTTTCTGTGCAACATATTTGCACAGAGCTCTGCTTGTGTGCGTGGGAAGCTTTTTGGCCATGGCCACTGTCAGACTAATGAATCCCATTAAATCATGCACTTTGTCATTACGCTGCCTTTAAGAGCCAGAAACTCACTTTGGCTTTACAAGTTTGCAACCCCCATTGTGAGCGAATGCCACATTGAGGAAAACAAACTACTTGACATCAGTGGACTCCTGCAATACAAAAAAAAAAAAAGAAGAGAAATCCATCAAGTGTCTTCTCACTTGGCAAACAGAGATTTGAAAGTTTGACACGCGAGACTGCTTTTGCCAAACTTTGAGTTGAAGAGCACCTTCCAACGTCTACGGCATGCATAAACACTTGGAAGGCCTGGATTCATCTACTTGTCATCTGCCAAAAAGGGTAACGTGTGTTTAGAGAACGGCTCGGATAAAAAGAGTGGACTTTACACTGAACAGACCGGCCCAATCAATCTTTTGGCCCACCACTTTCCAAAAGCTTGTCTCGACTATATCCTTCAACTAAAAAAAAGAGCAAAAGGAATAGAGTGCAAGATAAATTTGCTGATGATGTCTACTATTGTGGATTTTCCCAATCTCGAGGCACATCACAGCATGTTTTGTTGGCTCTGCAAATTTCCCCAACAGTATAGAGAAGATTTGATGGATGGTAATACTGTGGACACTTCACACAAACGGATCCCTTGATCTCCAGTGTTCAGAAGTGTTTTGGTTCTGGGGGTGGAACATGGCCTAGACGTCAACCCTTTGGCTGAATTTGGCGTGAATCCTATGGACCAGAGCTGCAGTGATGTCTAGATCAGCGTTCTTACTTAACTCTGGCTCTTGAGGTCCACTTTCCAGCAGAGTTTAGCTCCAACCCTAATCAAACACACCTGAACAAGCTAATCAAGGTCTTCATGATTAATAAAAAGTTAGTGGCAGGCAAGTTTGATTAAAGTTGGAGGTAAACTCGAGGCTTGGGGTTGATCTTGGACTCGATGAAGAATGCATGCAAGACTTTATACAAAATGGGGATGACCACACATTAGTGTGTGGGGGGGGGGTACATATGTAAGCATATGTACTCTAGCTTGGTACATATGACAAGGTTCGGGTTGAGTTGGGCTTGGGCTTGATGAACACATACATCAATTAATCATCGTGTTCGTGTCGTGTTCAAATGATCACTCAACGTTTGTCATGAAATCCTATGATAAATGTATTCATTTTGTATTTTATAACACTGAATAGGGTAAGTAGTCGAAACGTGAATTTCCTGGAAATCAATTGCCATGTTTCCAAACTGTGTAGGAACCCTTACTGTTTTAATTAGAAGATATTTTAATATTTATTTATCGGATCACGAAAGGTCCGAAAGCAAAACCGCACTACATCTCGAAGCACTGTCTATAAAACGGTATCTGCTCTGACTGTTAGAAGATATTTAAATAAATGTTATAATAATAAAAAAAAGATTATTTTAGTTAAACACGTCATATTCATTCAGTGATAACTATGAAAAAAAAAGCTTTTTTTCCTGCTTTTTGGCATGTTCGCACCACAGGAACTGGGAACATATTTGGTTCTAGGAACTCCGTTTGGAGGAACTAAATTAGCTCCTACTTCAGAGTACGGTCTAAAACAGTTCTATAGGAAATACCAGTGACGTAAGTGTACGCGGATTGGCCAAATGCATACAAAACACCAGCTACCGGCATTTTTAAAAGCCATGCAAAAATATTTACTCTATGAACATGGAAAACAGCGATAACAGCATTTAGCTACCTGTTGTCTGCAGCGTTGTGTCCTTTTCTCAGCCTCGATGATATGCAACACTACAAGTTGTCAAAGGAGATTTAGTCAGATTTTTATGCTCTTTTAATCACGTAAATTGTGTGTTTACATTCCATCTCTGTTATCACGAAACCCATGACACACAACAAAAACAGCTCCGATCACAGCATCCGCCATTCACCTGATGTTAAAGTTTGTAAATGCCGTGAATAAAGACGGTGCTGTCGGCCTCTTCAGAGTTCCTGCTGCTCGTACGAATGCAACCAGGAAAAAGTCCAGAGGGGGAAATTGGTTCTCTAGGAACCACCCTGCTGGCTAGTTCCTAGAACTGAGTTCCTCAGAACTACACGGTGCGAAAGCCACAATTGTGAACTCTTTTCTAGTGGAATAGAGGTACACCATGACCATGTCCCGAATGTTGAATTCTCATCATGTCATTACGTTAGTGATGTAGTGCCGCTATCAAATAGAAATTGCTGTTACTATTTGACTATGAATCCCATGGACCTGAGCCACAGCGATGTCTAGATGCTAAAACTTGTTCATCAGGTTTTTTGCAAGATACATATTTGACAAGTTTAGAGTTGGTCCAGGGTTAGGGTTGCTTTGGGTCTCAATGAATACATTGCATGAATGTGCATGTGAATCTCACAAGACCTGTCAAAGAATAAATGTAATGTATAGTCACACTCCCGAATGAAACCCTAAGGACTTGCAGTCTTCCTCCAGGTCCACGTTAGTGATGTAATGCTGCTTAGTGTCAGGTAGTAGTTTGCCTTTGTGAAATCCCATGAACCACATAGTTCAGGAAAATTCCTGCGAGATACACAATTGACCGGTTTAAAGTTGGGGTTGCTGTGCACTTAGGGCGCACCTATCTCAAAATGTCAAGTGCAGCACCCCTGCCATGGGTCAACCCTGTTCCTAGAGGGCCACCTTCCTGCACGGTTTAGTTTCAACCCTAATTAAACACACCTGTACTAGCACCTCCAAGTCTTCAGGAATACTTTTAACATTTATGTAGATATTTTGGAGCAACTTTGGGCTACACTCTGCCTCAAGCAACAGGAACACAAGCACACAACGGCACATCTAGAGAAAAACCAGAGCAGCTGTGTGTGTGCGTCTGCATTAAAAGTCCCTAGGAAACCCCTGACATGGGACCTTATACCCCAGAACACAAACTTTCCAGTCTGCTGTTAGTTTTTGGATAGATGTCAGACAGCTCTTAAATATTGTGGAGTGTTTTTCTAAAGACAGATATCTAGAAGAAGAGCCAAGACACAGAAAAATACCAGTCATCTCGCTGGACTGTTTATCCTCTAACTCCACTGATCTTCTCGGCCTCCCCCAAATTCTCGACCTCCCAGAGATAGCAAATAGAGTCAGTGGACACTGACGATATATCAGAACATGTGAGGCATTTTCTCACAGTTTTCCATTTCCCGTCTGTAATGTTGGAAGACCCAGTGGGCCATTTCTCACAGGTGCCAAATTGAACCTATGATTCTGCAGTTTCTTTAATTTCGTGATATTTGAGCGTCAGTAATTTTCAGTGAAATTACAGCAGTGACATATTTTAGCCATAGACCACAAAACGCATTTGGTAAAGGAATGTTTGTTCCGTATTCATTTCTCCTAAAAGGATATTACAGTACATCATAAGTATAAGGGAGTATCTCGACCTCAATAAGATCCAATAAGCCTTACACATGTTCCAAAATGGTCCAGAGCTCCAACCAAATTTCAAATGGAGCATATTCTTAAACATACTGAGATAATAAATATCAATTTAAGTAGGGTCAAATAAAGTCTCAAGTTCACACAGGTTGTCCTAGCAGAGTAAATAACACTAAATACAAATCCCTTACTAGGAAAGACATTGAGCTTTGGGTAACATTTTAGGTTCTGCTAAATTTAATATTCTGTTATATAAATATATAATCTTTTTATTGTTGGTTTCATTGTCTGTAATCAAAACTCAGATAAAAAATATCCAAGGCTTTGTTGATATCCCACACAAATCTGTTTCGGTTTTCAAATCTGAACTTTTAGGACTGACTGTCGTTCCTAAAAAATGCCAGGTTTTAAGAATCATAACAGAGGATTAACTTTCTGGAATCAATGTGCTTCCTTTATAAGCAAAACTGTATCACTGATACCGGGTTATGAGGTTACTTTTTCAGACATTTGAAATTCTATTGAGCAATACTTTGTAATTTATCATGCTTTGAGAATGCCTGGAGAAGTTAATGCTTCTATAATTCAGCCTTGAAAAGTGCCAGACATAAAGATCACCTTTACACTGCCAACTGTTTTTGCACTGAATGTTTTTTATGTAATGTGTAAAGGCCATTCTTAAATTCTTCAGGTTTATTTATTTTTTTCTCTCTCTGCAGAGTCGTCATATTTAATTTCGCATTCTGCACACAGATGTCTGCATACAGCCTTGAATTATTTTACAAAAGGCACTTGTAAAAGACATTTACAGCTATCTAGATCATTTTTCTTTTTGGTATTTATGTAAGCTTAGTATCTTAATCCCAGGTTAAAAGGCATTTATCTTTCACTAGAATTGCTGTTGTTTATGTACATATGAGAAGATTCAATCACTGCTTTGGCTTCCATATCTCTTGGAATGTAATGCAATGTACAGTATTTATTGACAATGTATGGATCAAAAGTGAATGCAACATAAATATGTAATCTATGTTGTATTACATTTTTGGACTTTAGAAAAATGGATTTATTACACGGGTTAAAAGGCAATGATTAAATCACATCACTAATAAAAATATTATATAAATAATATTTATATTAATTATGTAGAATACATGTATAATTATGTAGAATAATATTAAACTTAAACTATATTAATTAACATCTGTCAAAATGATCAACTTTAATAGTGGAGTCTCAAATGTTTGATAAGTGATCAGATTAATACTTTTTAATATGCAAGCAACCAAACCAACTTCAAGTGTTTGCTCATTTTTTTTCCCCCGTTTGCCTTTCTTTTTCATTCCCGTACTTATGGACTTGTTTGTATATTTATTTTCTTTGTTGAGCTAAAGAAAACTCTAATTATACTTAATCTCAAAGGATGTAACTAGCGGAAAACGACAGTCATTAATTATTAACATAACCCCAAGTGTTTGCTTAATTTGCTGTGGTTTGCTTCCTTTTTATTTTTTATTTGAATGTAATTTGTTATATATTTTTTTTAAACAATGACTACCCTTAATCATATTTAAGGACTTAACTAGTTTGTGAAAGTCTCAGAAACGGTAACATTTTAATGAAACTATTCATTTTCCCCTTGTCTAGAGTATTCTCTAATCCTCTCTTTCTCTCTCTCTCTCTCTCTCTCTCTCTCTCTCTCTCTCTCTCTCTCATTCCCGCTCTGC